TGATCTTGGATGACAAACCCATGGTTTTTCCAAATGAAGACCCCTACAATTATCAATCCAATGTTCTTTGCTACACAAGAACCTAATTGGGTGTTATTAAACCTCTTTTAGATGGCACCCTAACAAAAGATCATTATAATGGAATGTTAGTATATATGCATAGATTAGAGTTTGAAGATAAAGAGCAAATGTATGTTAATTTTATGGTATCATCAAGTTATAATGATGTATGAAGGATGTATTTATAGTTATGGGAATATGGGGGAAAAAGAGGGAAATTCATAATTAAAAGAAAATTAGAAAATTTAACCCATGAAAAACAGTATGAGCCGGCATGTAGCTTGGATAAGTCGGCTCATAGTGTTAATTTTAACAGTATGAGCCGACCTAAAATAGACTATGAGCCAGCCTGAATCAAGCATAAGAGAACTCCTTATTTAGGACAATACATGTGTCGGTCTGAAACTAACAAAGACTATCTGCTTATTTAGAGTAGTACATGTAACGGCCTATAATGGTTATGAGCCGAACTATATATGTATTTTTAGTGCAGAAAGTGATTTTTCAAGATTCGGTCAGTTTTTACTATGTTTCAAATGATTCCTAAGACTTCTAAATGAATAGGGTGTCACCTAAACTCAGAGATACTTCTCAATATACATAAATGCTTTATTCTTGTAGTTTTGACATCATGCAAAACACTTCTTGAGGAAACCCTCACTCACAGACCAAGTCCCAAAAAACTTCAAACCATAACCCTTGGCATGTTTCAAATGAAAGAGTGATCCCCATGAGCACATCATGTCTATTAATAATCAAGTGGCAATCATCAGGGCCTCTGACTCATTAAAGTGAAAACTCATGGAGGGAATGTTTAAGGATATGGCCTTACGTTGGTACGTGAGCCTGCCTAGTTTTTAAATCACGGGTTACCAGGATTTGACTAGGAAAATGGTACAACACTTTTTTGCCAACAAGCATGAAAAGGTGTCCACAACAAGCCTGTTAAATGTTTGTTAGTGGCCCTCCGTTGTCAACTTTAAAGTGTCAAAGGTGTCACATGCAAGTATACATGTTTTGATTGCAGCAAGTAATAAATATAAGAGTCCCGTACCCTCAGGGAGTGTAGTTACTTAGATTTGACTTATGTATAGAAAATATTCTTTTTATTTAAGCATAAGTAGAGAGAACTAATGGTTGGTGATTATGAGTTCAATTTCATTTAAAACAAGTATCAAAAGTAAAGTGAAAAGTGGTGGAAATAAATTAAGAGTGTTTGAGTTGAGCTTTATTCTGGTAATATCTTTAGTGTAGTTATGTGCTAATGATGTGTGGAGTCGTGACAAGCAAGGTCAAAGTGATCTTATGGTATATTTCTACAACATTCTTAACATGCATAAAAGGGTAAGGGAATAAATCTATAAGCCTCACTTGTAACCCTAATATACGTCTTTAAATTAATCTGAATTCCCTAATGGTTGCAGATTCTTATCTCTAAGAAAACTATGTCAAGTGAATATCTCTAACATACTCTTTCAACCATTTTTACTCATGAAGTACACTTTTTGTTGGATCTCTCTCAACAACAAGTTTTTACCTATTTCTAAGTTGATCATTTAAAGAAGAAATTTTTTAACAGAATAGACACATGGTAAAGCAAGCACTATCCAAACAACATATAACATAAAAACAGCTTGATATTAATTTCAAATTGCTCAACTACAAAAGATTTAGCTCATAGTGAGTTGAGTACAAGCTACAAACAAGGTTCTCAAAGGAAACACCCTAAGAAAATAAATAAACAAAAGATATAAACCTAAGAGGGACTTGGAGGAATCCTTAAGATGACTAATCTTCAAGAGGTGACTGCAGTCGCACCACTGCTCATCAGTTGGTACATGATTGGATGAGGAAAGAAGACTATCACACTTCCACTACTCAAGAACTCAAACTCTTGCAATAGTATCTTGGAAAAACATAAATATCTTTTTATATTAAACACAACTGTATTCATAGACTAAGGATTAGGGTTTGTATGTTTCCTTAGATCATGGGCTTGTGTTCAAGAAATCACATCAAGCCCACATAAAATTAGTGCCACCACACATTTCAGCATTTGAGCAAGTTAGTAATCTCCGTACAAGGAGACAATGTTGAGAGACAAGGTGTAGTGTGGAAAAATGTCACAAAAAGTGCAGGTGGCACACTCTTCTTTTTTATAGTGTACTATTGTACCAATATTTGTCTTTTAGCTCTTCCACTCTTTTCTTTGAATTTGAATATCTTTCTCCTCTTTTTAAGTACAACCACATATTCCCTCCAATTACATCATCCTTCTACACTATCCTCATTATCCAACATCTTCCATTACTGTTTCGCATTGGTCTAAGTTTCCTCAATTTCTTCCAGCTTGTGCTCCATGCAGCAGACTTCTGCAGTCTTGCCTCAGTCCGACCCTGCTAACCTTTTCTAACACAAAAACATAAGTAAATGATAAAAATGGATCACCCATTATGCTCCAAGAAAAAACAACTAAAAACACTAAAATGCAAGAAATTGGAACTAATAATCAAAACAAAAATACTAAATAGACAATACTAAAGGCATGTATTAAGTCACAAAATGTGGGTTAACACACCCCCAAACTTAAATCATTACCTGTCCTCAGGTAATACGATAGACAAAGAAAGTCAGAACAACATCAATTATTAACCCCCTCCTTATCAAGACCAATAATTTTTCAAACTCATAAATATTTCTCTTGGGACTTATCCCAAAACATGTACGACTTAGTCCTAAAGCACATTCTAGATTGGGTATGCTCTTTAAGCCACTCATACTCCCTATCACGAAAAAAATCTTTTGTCAAGTTAGCAGCTTAAATTCAAATATTGATTGCTTCATCCTATGGTTTACAACTTAACTTTTAGCTCTAGCAGGGGGTTTTACTTTTTGTTCCTGAACTTACACCTAGGACCACACTTGCATTTATTAAAAATATTCTTTTTGCTTTTAGCTTCCCCCACCTTATTCACTAGACATGATCTAACTTGTGATGATTCCCACTTGTTACTTATGATGAGAACAACTACAGTTCCTTCAGACACGGGCACAAGAACTTATGAAAATCTTCTCTTCCAATTTCAGGCACATGAATTTATTGAGAAGTTCCTTTGGCAACTTCTATTACACACTTTGGTGTGTTTACTTAATCAAATGCAGTGCTTCCAGAGTGTTCTAGTCCTTATAATAGATGTATCAACCACCCTAACTAAGCCTAATAACTAGTTTCTATCCCATGCTTAAAAGAAATTCAACTTTGTCCATGTGTTGCCTACTTTCTAGATTTCCAGAGTCACGACATAGGTTATTAGTAACATAAGAACAATGCAGAAGAAACTCCTCAAGTCATAGTTCATTATATTGTTAAAGTCCCACTAGAATTTTCTCTAAGTCCTTCTTATATAGTCTGTCATAAGGGGGATATTAATCAGCTTTGTTCTTTTGTATTTATTCTATTTTTTTAGCATAAAAAGGAAAATTTAAACAAATATAAAAAACATTTCATTAATTCAAAGGCTGCAAGCAGCCAAATAAAACAACAAAATAAAATAACAGTAGATATAATGGTGATGGTTGATGGGTAGATTCATGACTGTAGCCATCACTCCCCCAAACTTAAAGTAAGGACAATGTCCTCACTATTCAGTAAGAGGGATGGGGCGTGCCTTTGTTCTCTTGTCTTACTAGCTAGTCCTGAAGCCTACTGCTCTTGTGCGCTCTATCCTATTTTATTTTCTTAAGAGGCCTTCTTCTAGACAGGATTAGGAAGAGATGACTTCACTTTTGAAGCTTTAGGTGCCACACAGACGTCTGGAATTGTGCCTGCCGTCTGCACCTTTGTAGACTTGACTAAGGACTTCTTGAGATGTGATTTTGGAATGGGTGGAGTCTTGGCTGGAGAATATTTCTTGGAAATCTTCTTAGCTGGATTTGGGATGCTGACCTTTGCAGGTTTCTTGTTCTTCTTGGGAGTGATCACTCGGGTCACGTCAGCATCCATCTCTTCTAGAGACATAACTAAAAATCTATCATCCACTATAAAAATATGAATAATTACACAAGATGTTATTCAATCTACCAATCATATACATGTTGGAAGAATCATGAAAAAGCAAGGAGTTGTTGCTCGTATCTTGCTTAATGAAGAAAGAAGATAAAGATGAAGAATTCTTCAAGATGTAATTTAAATCATTAGTCATATACATTGTCATACCCCAATTTTTGACCTAAGATCCCACTTTTTATTTTTTGAATTTTTAAAGATAAGTCAAGGTCACGAAATACGGTCGGTTTTAACTTCTCACCTTCGAGCTTTGACTATATGAAGATTGTCAAGTGTTTTGAACATTTTTAGCCTATGTATCACTAATTTCTAATCACATACAAAGGTGTATGTTCATGTTTCTTTTGCTTCATGTGCAGAGACAGGTCTGAATCAAGAGCATCAGGTGTCGCGCCTCAATTAAGGTTTTGATTCTCCCAAGCCAGAAGTACGGTTGATTGTGGATTCTCGAAGACTGATTCATCAAGGCACAACTGTTGCACCCTTGATTTTGCCCCTAATATGTTTTAGTCGCACTTTCAGATCATATTTTGTTATTTGGTCATGATCATTAGTAAATATCTTCATTCATCACATTTTGCTTCATTAGTCGTATTTAAGTTGACCAGAAAAAGTCAGTTTAAATCAAAGTTTGCATCGTCTTTCAGTTGTAAAATACCCGGCGTTTCACATCATTCATTTTTACCTGTTTACTATTTTCTTGCATTGCTCCAAGTTGTTTATATGTCGATAGTAAAAATATTTTGGTTTTATAGACAGACTGTTAAAAGAGATTCGATATTGTGCGAAAAAATAGCGAGAAAAATATTTCAAGTTTTCACCTTTTACCGATCATTTTATGAATCTGCGCTTCGCTCTGCGCTTCGCGTAGATTATGACGGTATGCTCGCTTTATTTTTTCGATACAGTTTGAAGTCTCGTTTTTAACCGTAAAACGTCTGTTTAGTCTGATATTTTTACTATTATTTTATTTTTGATTTTTGACTTCTTGAATATTTTTTCTTTAATCTTCGTGACATGTAGTTTATTTTAATGTGTTCATTTTATTTTATCGGATAAATTTTCGTCCGTTTTTTATCGTTTTTGGTCATTTTGTGTCTTTATTTTTAATTCAGAAAAATTCAAAAAAATTGTTTTAAATTGAGTTATTTTTTTATACTTTCAGGTTTTTATTTTATTTTTGTCATTCAAGGGCTTTTTGGTCATTAAAATTGTTTTTGAACTAAGCTTTATTTTGATTGGTTGATTGAAGTTGTGCAGGATTATGAAAATTAATGGACGGATATGATTGCAAGCTGAAATCATTTTTTCCTCTTCATCTGACTATTTAAATAGCCTTCATTTTCTTTGTGAAAAAAGAAAGAAAAAAATCCAACACAATAATCTCTTTAACTCTCTATTTTACTTCTGCTAACAATAAATCGCCCTCCATTCCATATAACCTTAAAAGCTGCAAACAAGAGCTATTCTTGTTCTTTAAGAAGCACACTATTATTTCATACTTGTATCCTAGGTGGTTGTTGTTGTTGTTACTATAAATCACACAACAATTTTACATTGTTACTTGTTATCAAAATTAATGTTGACTCAGTTTCAGTGACTCCATTCTGAACTTACCAACGTTTGCAAGTCTCTATTTCGTGTAAAGCAGTTACATGCTTGCCTACCGAATAACCCAACTCCTTCATCGTCTTCAACACCACTCTGTGAGAACCGGGATCATCGGCGTTCAACAAGCTTCACCGTCCGCTATTCACAAACACAAATACTTCCTCCACCGAAATCGCTGTTCTTCGTCGCTCAACATTCAACTTCTTTCCGCCGTACATCCTCAAACCAGTTTCAAACCGCAACTGTAAACACCAGATCACCGTTCCCTCCGTCGATTCGCAGCGGCTCAACACCATCGTCCTCATCGCAACGGCCGCGACTCGCCTTTGTCAAGCTGCGCATCGCCTCTCATCACGTTCTCCCTTCCGCTCTTCCATCGTTCCTCATCACTCTCCATCAACAAATCTCTTTCATCTCCACCGACTCAGCCACTATCCACCACCACGCGCAAAACTACAGACGCAACATCACCTTACCAGCTACAACCGATCGCGTCCCCATCATTCCCAGATCCGGCCATCATGCCAATTCCACCGTCGTCAGTCTCCATCGGTTTCTCCCTCTGTCCTCGTTTCAGTTGGTAGAGTTTTTTTTCTTTTCTTTTTTTTCAGATTTTGAACATGTTATTTGTTATTCATGTGTTTGGATTTAAAGATGTTTGGAGATGTTAAAGTTGAGCAATAAAAAATGGGCAAAAGAAAGGTTGAGGAAGGAGCACGGCTGGAGAAGAAAGAGCAGAGTAAATTTGTTTGTTTTTCCTCCTTCAATCTTCAAGTATTTTGTCACTCTTTTTTTCCTATAATAATATGCCATGTGTCACTAAGTTATTGGCTAAAATTGATAGAAAGAAAGATGGAGAAGCAACGGAAGAAGGCATAACCCTCACATGTTGCTTTACTGTTTGTGCTTTAAAAAAAATATAAAAAAAATATTAATAAATCTTATAATTAATTTAGTTTAATATTAATTTAGCATTCTTTAATTAGTTTAGATTTATTTTATAACTTTAGAATTTTATTTCATTTAGTAAATTTTAGAATTTTATTTATTTTAGTTTAGTTTAATAACTTTAGAATTTTATTTGATTTTATTTAAGTTAACTTTAGAATTTTATTTGTTTAGTTTTAGTTTAATAACTTTAGAATTTTATTTGATTTTATTTAAGTTAACTTTAGAATTTTATTTGTTTTGTTTTAGTTTAGTGATTTTAGAAATTTTTTTAGAATTAGTTTAATAAGTTTATAATTTTTATTTAGTTTAATAACTTTAGAGTTTTTATTTGATTTAGATTTAGTTTAGTAACTTTGAAATTTTCATTTGTTTTAGATTTAATTTAGTAACCTTAGGATTTTAATTTAATCTAGATTTAACTTACTAAATTTTAAAGCCTTAGTTTAGTTTAGATCAAATTCAATAATGCTAGATTTTTTTTATAACCTTAGAATTTGTAATTAGTTTAGAATTATTTTAGTAAGTAATTTTTAATTTAGTTCGAATAACTTCTTTAGATAATTAGTTATATTCCTTTTTATTTGTATATTTCTGTCATTTCAATTTCTCGGTGCCTCTTGATCATTAATTTGTTTTTGTCAGATTTATTTTCTTGTGAACTTCTGAATGTTTATATTTTGATGTTCATTTTATTTTGCTTACTCCAAGGGAAAGAATTAAATTTGTTGACTTCATGTCATCGAACATATCTCATACGATTGCGCGAACCCCTTCATTCATTTTTTTGCTTGTTTACTATTTTGCTAAACTCGAGATAATTTTCCAAAAGACTCCATTTTCAAACCTACCTTTTAAGTCAAAACTTCGACACTAGGTCGTCGCATCTTCAAAATCTCGCCAACACCTATTTTTAGCCAAACGAACCATTTTAATCAAACAAACAATTTTAAACCAAAAAATAAATATTTCAAAAGGTTCCTGCGGAGTACCGCAGATGCATTGGGTGTTAATACCTTCCCATTGTATAACCAACCCCCGAACTCTCGATCTCTTTCAAAAACGCATGGTATTTTTATTACTTTTAAGTATTATTTTACATTGCATACTTTAGGGTTTTATTTTTCTCTTTTCCCTTTTCCCTTGTAAATAATAAAGCGCGGTGGCGACTCTTGCTTTTGCGAGTCGAGTTAATTAATAGCTCGATCTCCGATTTTCACCGCTACAGAATTGGCGACTCTGCTGGGGAAATATTGACCTCTTGCTGGTCCATCCCTAAGTGGGTTAAGCCTAATTTGTTTTATCTGTTTTATCATTATTTGATTGTTTGATTATATGTATATATTATGATTATTTGGGTGTTGATAATATTTACAAAGGACAAGTCCTATACCCGGACTAAGTTACACTTAGGAATAGGACGGGCGGTATAGTCATGTTAACTTTGAGGGAGTAATCCCGAAGAAGGAGGCATGAGATCCCCCACTCAGTGGAAGGCCCTTTTGAACGTAATATTTGTTTACCGAGTAATCGGGAAGACATTATTATTTTCGACCTGGGAGCCAGAGAAGCTGGGAACCGTAGAACCCTAACCCATCTTGGCCTTTTAGGTGTAGCGTGAAGATTATAAGGGAGTAATCCGAAAGTAATTGTTACGCGATGCTACGCTCGGATGAGTTTCTCTTGAGAATATTGCTGATTATTGAGTAATCAAGACGTTGGTAATATCCAAAGGAGGAATGTAGACTCCGGGAACTCTTAGAACCTTGTTCTACAAGTGTGATTAAACCGTTAGTACATACCTTGGGGGTGTTCTTTACCTTGACTCCATGCTCGTGACGTTGAACCTTTCGACTTTATTTGTGACCTTGCTTGTGGTTGTTGCATAGCCATGTATTCATGCATCCATAAAACCCTTTTCACTTGACTTTGAAGGAATTTGGAGGTCTTTCTTTGTAAACATCACAAGTTTCGTCAAGCTCAATGGATCTTGGGTGTTGATAGGGCGAAAACCCTAATCCACCAAAATGGATGATTGATCTTGACGAAAACTTGATCAATGTTTGGAGCCAATTTAAAATTCATCTTCTATCTTCATACTTTGATGTTTACAACTTAATATTTTGAGTTCCTTGAAAATCAAATAAAAACTCTCTTTTGCATATCATACATCATTCTACATTTTTTGTTTCACTTTCAAAGGTCTTTTTCCAAGTCTTATTTTTCCTTTGGTCTCACTGTACAACACTGATGCTAAGAGAACAATGGAGAATATCGAGCAAGAGGTTTCTGAACTCCGTAGAGAGATGACTATTTTGAAAGCTGGTATGGATCAGACTGTTTTGGGTTGAAATTTTGGTTACCGCCCAAGTTAATCCTTCTAGGAGGGAGGAAGCGATGATAAAAGTCTTCACTGAAACTCTGAAATCATGAGAAGATGATAATTAATGCGCCTAGTGACTTTCCTGACAAGGTGAATATGGGAGTGCGTCTAGAAGAAGATGTCGGAAAGGGATGTTCATATGAATATGGTAGCTCAGCTAATGGTGTGAAGAAGTTTGATAATAACTTTTCCAAGAAGAGAACCAGAGGAAGAAATAATCATCGTCAGAATCATCATGTTTCTCCTATTCATCAACAGAATCAGCAAGTCCCTAATCAGAGGAAGACCCAGTTTGATCCAATTCTAATTACCTATACAGAGTTGTTCCCTATCCTGATGCAGAGGAATTTGGTTCAGACCCGACCTCCACCGAAGGTTCCTGAGAAGATACATTGGTACTACAAAGCTGATTTGGCTTGTACCTTTCATCAAGGTGCTCCTGGGCATGACTTGGAGGGTTGCTTTGCTTTGAAGATTGAGGTTCAGAAGTTGGTCAGAAGTGGTATCTTGTCATTCAAGGACGTTGGTTTTGAAGTTCAAATCAAGCATGTGCCAAAGAGTAAACACGATTGATGGTGACTTTGATTTTTGAAGGATGTTTTCGGTAATTCAAGTCCAGATGGAAAGCCTTCCCAGATCATTAACTTATTTCTGCTTTTTGTAATTTTTCTTGTTTATCAAAACATTGTTTGCATGTAAGAACTTGTTTGCATCTGTATGATTATCTTAATACAATGAGTATGTTTGTCTTGAAGAAATTCATTCGTTTCACTCATATTTGTTTTCAAATTTTAAATTTCTTTTTGCATTATGATACCAACTTGTTGCCCATTCTCTTGCCTAGGCAGAGATTGAAGGGATGATGATGATCTAAAGAACACAAAATCTCTGGTTGTTTGCTTTTGGATAAAATCTTGCTGATGATGTACATGCATTGTTTCAAATCCCTAAACACTGGAGATATAAGGAAGATAATCCCTTGCTAACCCCTTTTGAGCCTTTGAAGCAGAAGTTTCTTTTCTATACGAAAAAACCTTGAATTTTAACCTGGGGCAGGGTAGTTTTTAGTTAATCTGACTGAGTGTTCGAAATTCATAAGGAAGATGTTTTTTGAAGAGAAACTACGAGGGCTATCTTTCATGTATAATGAAGCCAGAAGATGTGGAATCATAATGTTATCCCTCACTCATCAAGAAACGAGGCAATCACAATCCTCTCAACAAACAAAGACAAGCTAATGTCACACATTTTGTTCAAAAAGTCAAAAATCGAGAAAAAGAAAAAGCCTGCTAAGTCAAAAAACATGAAAACGTGTGACTTAGGCATAATTAAGGCATCCCGCTGGACTATCAATTCAAAAGAATTAGTTCAGGCAAAAGTTAGGGAAAATAAAAATTGCAAAGAAAAGGACTGCAAAGAAAAGTCCTCAGCAAAGAACAAATTGGTGACTACAAACACGAAGACATGAGGGTGGTTTCTACTCCGAAAACCTCGTCATTTCCTTAACCGTCACAAAATCCTTTTGAGAGATGAACGCTCATGTTGAATTAACTGAACATAGGATTGGAGAACATCATGAAGGGGGTGGGCACCAAATATTTTGAGCCTTAAATCTTTTTTTTCTAAAACCATGAACCAGACCATGTTACAACCTTCAAAAGTCCTAATTGAAGCAAGGTTATTTTGAAAGCATACTTCAATGAGATAGTGTTCCTGACTCCCATGAATGTTCTAAATAGTTATGTTGGTATCATATGTTTTTCCTATACAAAAATAAATGGTGCTCTAACTCGCAAAATTTGTGCGATATCTTTCAAAATCTTCAAGACTTACATAACTGTTGCATTAGAATTTTCATTCTCATTGTAAACTTTTTCTAACTGAAAAACATTTGTTTGATATCAAGGAAGCTCACATAAGCACCAGTGATGAGTTTATTCTTTTAAGGCCTGAAACTATGTTGAGTAATTGGCGGATCACGTCAAGAAAAAATCATATCCATGGGTATATCACCTGAAGACCGTAAGCACGGACATGTTGCTTCTCCCAGTTAATGCTTTCCCAATTTGTTTACCCTTTATTGGGGCAAAATTTGAAGACTTTGTTGTGCCAACTACAGTCAATCCGGGGCAATCACGTAGAGATTTGATGAACCTCTCTAAGAGTTTGAAGACACCAGAGCATGGTGAATGCCAGGTCTTTTGTAAAATCCTCTTGAGACGATTTCTCCTCATCAACCAGATAGCTTGGGGCATTTTAGAGGTGAAGCTATTCGCCAGAATTGTCGTGCAATACGCAGCTTATCAGCAGTAAACTTGGGGCATCCAAAATTGATCCCAGGGGCAATCCAGATTTGTCAGGATATGTTTTTCATACATTATCGGAGGGTGGTGTTCCCAGTATCTCCAGCTAAGCAAGACTTCTTTCCAGCTGAAACTTTGTTTGTGTTGTTATCCTTTCAATGGATTGTTTGCAATAGAAGACTGGACTTTGGGTTTTCTACCTGAAAATATCTTCCTCTCCAGAGATATTTAAGCCTTGTAAAAGGACCTTGCTCCAATGATGGCATGTGTTTTATCTCCAGTAATGTTCCCATCCTGTTGAGATTAGCCGAGTGTCGAGCTGTACTATGACGTCTTATCATCTTCAGTCTATCTTCCCTGTCTGTTTTGTCAGCATATACATGACATTCATTTATTCATTCACACTTGCATCATGCACGCACAGTTGTATTTGTTGATATATTTGAGTTCGTATACCTTGGTTATGTCTATTCAAATAGTGTATTTGATCTTTCCAAATAGAGTGTCCATTTATGCAGAAAGTGAGCCTCTTTTCTAATTACCCACTGAGTTAACTCTCGTGGAAAAATCTTGCTTCAGCTTTCCTTTTCCACCTCTGGACAGGATAAATCTTCATTTGAGTTGTTTCCTCATTGGGTGAAGTCTTGTTTGATTATTTTCTCTCCAGTTTATTCCTGGATGGAGCTTTGTCTCTTGTGAATGATACCCTGTGGATCTCTCTAGGCTGTGAAACCTAGGTGGAGAGTGCATTTATTTTGCAATGTAAATACTTGGTCTTCTCGGGAAGAATCCATTCATGGTTCCCCATTGAAGATGAACTTTATTCCCCAGCAGTGTTATCACAACCTTCTTCTGGAATATCAACATGACAACAAGTGACTGACTCTTTATTTAAGCAGTTTGATTATTTCCGATTTCTCTATGACAAATGGCGGTCTCTTCATGAGCAGTTTGTCCATCCTCGATGAAATTATTGATTCTCACCTCCAGCAATATCTTCACGATATTTTATGGGTATCTTTTTGGGAAACCGCAAGCGGCAGTCTCTTCATGAGGCAACTTGTGTGTTATGGATACTCTTGACAAACAGCAAGCGACAGTCTCTTTCCGAGGCAACTTGTATATTATTGACACCTCGAAAAAACGGCAAGTGGCAGTCCTTTCATGGGTAGCTTGTACGTTATTTTTCTTTGGAAAACGGAATGTGGCAGCTCTTCATGAGCAGCTTGTATGGAAAATGGCAAGTGGCAGCTCTTCATGAGCAGCTTGTGGGTTATAAGCAACAAGTGGCGGACTCTTCATGAGTAGCTTGTGTGCTTTAATATTCTTTGCAGACAACAAGTGGCAGCTTCTTCATGAGCAGCTTGTGGGTTATTGGCAACAAGTGGCGGACTCTTCATGAGTAGCTTGTGTGCTTTAATATTCTTTAAAGACAGCAAGTGGCAGCTCTTCATGAGCAGCTTGTGGGTTATAAGTAGCAAGTGGTGGCCCCTGTATTTGAGCAACTTGTATGTTATCAACACTTTTAAAAACAGCAAGCGGCAGTCTCTTCATGGACAACTTGTATGTTATCAACACTTTTAAAAACAACAAGCAGCAGTCTCTTCATGGACAACTTGTATGTTATCAACACTTTTAAAAACAGCAAGCGGCAGTCTCTTCATGGACAACTTGTATGTTATCAACACTTTTAAAAACAGCAAGCGGCAGTCTCTTCATGGACAACTTGTATGTTATCAACACTTTTAAAAACAGCAAGCGGCAGTCTCTTCATGGACAACTTGTATGTTATCAACACTTTTTGAAAACGGCAAGTGGCGGTCTCTTCATGAACAGCTTGTACGGAAAATGGCAAGTGGCAGCTTCTTCATGAGCAGCTTGTACGTTAGTATTTTTGGAAGACAGCAAGTGGCAGCTTCTTTATGAGCAGCTTGTGGGTTTTTGGCAACAAATGGCAGCTTCTTCATGAGCAGTTTGTGTGCTTTGATATTCTTTGAAGACAGCAAGTGGCAGCTTCTTTATGAGCAGCTTGTGGATTTTTGGAAACAAGTGGCGGACTCTTCATGAGCAGCTTGTGTGCTTTAATATTCTTTGAAGACAGCAAGTGGCGGTCTCTTCATGAGCAGCTTGTATGTTATTGACACCTTTGAAAGGAAGCAAGTGGCGGCCTCTTTATTTGAGCAGCTTGTGTATCCCCAACAATAATGTCTACTCAGCAAATGGCATCCCTTTCGGAAAAGTCCCGTGGGGAAGTTTGTTATTTTATCCTTTTCAAGCGATATCTTGGTTAAAGAAGAAATGTGTTACCGTTCTTGGTAAAATTCAGAAATCAGAGATGTTTATCTCCAACCACAGTGCTGATGTCAATCATTTTGTTTTCCAGCCACAGTACTGATGTAAATCATTACCTTTTCCAGTCATAGTACTGATGTAAATCATTGCCTTTTCCAGTCTCAATACTGATGTAAATCATTCAAGAGTCTCTCATTTGAAGTCTATGACTTTGTTTCCCCAGTGGTGTTATAATTTTGTTCCCCTGTAGGATTACTATAATGTGCTTGGTTTCTCCAGCATAGTCTGTCTCATATGGCGTCATTCCCCATAAAATTCAGAGCATTACATTCATATCATATCATAAACATAATTGCGGTATCTTAAGGCCAAAAATTGTGTATTCTATATTTAAGTCCCTTCAATCTCGTCAGATAGAAGAAACTTAAATAGGGGCAGCTGTCATACCCCAATTTTTGACCTAAGATCCCACTTTTTATTTTTTGCATTTTTAAAGATAAGTCAAGGTCACGAAATACGGTCGGTTTTAACTTCTCACCTTCGAGCTTTGACTATGTGAAGATTGTCAAGTGTTTTGAACATTTTTAGCCTATGTATCACTAATTTCTAATCACATACAAAGGTGTATGTTCATGTTTTCTTTTGCTTCATGTGCAGAGACAGGTCTGAATCAAGAGCATCAGGTGTCGCGCCTCAATTAAGGTTTTGATTCTCCCAAGCCAGAAGTACGGTTGATTGTGGATTCTCGAAGACTGATTCATCAAGGCACAACTGTTGCACCCTTGATTTCGCCCCTAATATGTTTTAGTCGCACTTTCAGATCATATTTTGTTATTTGGTCATGATCATTAGTAAATATCTTCATTCATCACATTTTGCTTCATTAGTCGTATTTAAGTTGACCAGAAAAAGTCAGTTTAAATCAAAGTTTGCATCGTCTTTCAGTTGTAAAATACCCAGCGTTTCACATCATTCATTTTTACCTGTTTACTATTTTCTTGCATTGCTCCAAGTTGTTTATATGTCGATAGTAAAAATATTTTGGTTTTATAGACAGACTGTTAAAAGCGATTCGATATTGTGCGAAAAAATAGCGAGAAAAATATTTCAAGTTTTCACCTTTTACCGATCATTTTATGAATCTGCGCTTCGCTCTGCGCTTCGCGTAGATTATGACGGTATGCTCGCTTTATTTTTTCGATACAGTTTGAAGTCTCGTTTTTAACCGTAAAACGTCTGTTTAGTCTGATATTTTTACTATTATTTTATTTTTGATTTTTGACTTCTTGAATATTTTTTCTTTAATCTTCGTGACATGTAGTTTATTTTAATGTGTTCATTTTATTTTATCGGATAAATTTTCGTCCGTTTTTTATCGTTTTTGGTCATTTTGTGTCTTTATTTTTAATTCAAAAAAATTCAAAAAAATTGTTTTAAATTGAGTTATTTTTTTATACTTTCAGGTTTTTATTTTATTTTTGTCATTCAGGGGCTTTTTGGTCATTAAAATTGTTTTTGAACTAAGCTTTATTTTGATTGGTTGATAGAAGTTGTGCAGGATTATGAAAATTAATGGACGGATATGATTGCAAGCTGAAATCATTTTTTCCTCTTCATCTGACTATTTAAATAGCCTTCATTTTCTTTGTGAAAAAAGAAAGAAAAAAATCCAACACAATAATCTCTTTAACTCTCTATTTTACTTCTGCTAACAATAAATCGCCCTCCATTCCATATAACCTTAAAAGCTGCAAACAAGAGCTATTCTTGTTCTTTAAGAAGCACACTATTATTTCATACTTGTATCCTAGGTGGTTGTTGTTGTTGTTACTATAAATCACACAACAATTTTACATTGTTACTTGTTATCAAAATTAATGTTGACTCAGTTTCAGTGACTCCATTCTGAACTTACCAACGTTTGCAAGTCTCTATTTCGTGTAAAGCAGTTACATGCTTGCCTACCGAATAACCCAACTCCTTCATCGTCTTCAACACCACTCTGTGAGAACCGGGATCATCGGCGTTCAACAAGCTTCACCGTCCGCTATTCACAAACACAAATACTTCCTCCACCAAAATCGCTGTTCTTCGTCGCTCAACATTCAACTTCTTTCCGCCGTACATCCTCAAACCAGTTTCAAACCGCAACTGTAAACACCAGATCACCGTTCCCTCCGTCGATTCGCAGCGGCTCAACACCATCGTCCTCATCGCAACGGCCGCGGCTCGCCTTTGTCAAGCTGCACATCGCCTCTCATCACGTTCTCCCTTCCGCTCTTCCATCGTTCCTCATCACTCTCCATCAACAAATCTCTTTCATCTCCACCGACTCAGCCACTATCCACCACCACGCGCAAAACTACAGACGCAACATCACCTTACCAGCTACAACCGATCGCGTCCCCATCATTCCCAGATCCGGCCATCATGCCAATTCCACCGTCGTCAGTCTCCATCGGTTTCTCCCTCTGTCCTCGTTTCAGTTGGTAGAGTTTTTTTTCTTTTCTTTTTTTTCCAGATTTTGAACATGTTATTTGTTATTCATGTGTTTGGATTTAAAGATGTTTGGAGATGTTAAAGTTGAGCAATAAAAAATGGGCAAAAGAAAGGTTGAGGAAGGAGCACGGCTGGAGAAGAAAGAGCAGAGTAAATTTGTTTGTTTTTCCTCCTTCAATCTTCAAGTATTTTGTCACTCTTTTTTTCCTATAATAATATGCCATGTGTCACTAAGTTATTGGCTAAAATTGATAGAAAGAAAGATGGAGAAGCAACGGAAGAAGGCATAACCCTCACATGTTGCTTTACTGTTTGTGCTTTAAAAAAAATATAAAAAAAATATAAATAAATCTTATAATTAATTTAGTTTAATATTAATTTAGCATTCTTTAATTAGTTTAGATTTATTTTATAACTTTAGAATTTTATTTCATTTAGTAAATTTTAGAATTTTATTTATTTTAGTTTAGTTTAATAACTTTAGAATTTTATTTGATTTTATTTAAGTTAACTTTAGAATTTTATTTGTTTAGTTTTAGTTTAATAACTTTAGAATTTTATTTGATTTTATTTAAGTTAACTTTAGAATTTTATTTGTTTTGTTTTAGTTTAGTGATTTTAGAAATTTTTTTAGAATTAGTTTAATAAGTTTATAATTTTTATTTAGTTTAATAACTTTAGAGTTTTTATTTGATTTAGATTTAGTTTAGTAACTTTGAAATTTTCATTTGTTTTAGATTTAATTTAGTAACCTTAGGATTTTAATTTAATCTAGATTTAACTTACTAAATTTTAAAGCCTTAGTTTAGTTTAGATCAAATTCAATAATGCTAGATTTTTTTTATAACCTTAGAATTTGTAATTAGTTTAGAATTATTTTAGTAAGTAATTTTTAATTTAGTTCGAATAACTTCTTTAGATAATTAGTTATATTCCTTTTTATTTGTATATTTCTGTCATTTCAATTTCTCGGTGCCTCTTGATCATTAATTTGTTTTTGTCAGATTTATTTTCTTGTGAACTTCTGAATGTTTATATTTTGATGTTCATTTTATTTTGCTTACTCCAAGGGAAAGAATTAAATTTGTTGACTTCATGTCATCGAACATATCTCATACGATTGCGCGAACCCCTTCATTCATTTTTTTGCTTGTTTACTATTTTGCTAAACTCGAGATAATTTTCCAAAAGACTCCATTTTCAAACCTACCTTTTAAGTCAAAACTTCGACACTAGGTCGTCGCATCTTCAAAATCTCGCCAACACCTATTTTTAGCCAAACGAACCATTTTAATCAAACAAACAATTTTAAACCAAAAAATAAATATTTCAAAAGGTTCCTGCGGAGTACCGCAGATGCATTGGGTGCTAATACCTTCCCATTGTATAACCAACCCCCGAACTCTCGATCTCTTTCAAAAACGCATGGTATTTTTATTACTTTTAAGTATTATTTTACATTGTATACTTTAGGGTTTTATTTCGCTCTTTTCCCTTTTCCCTTGGAAATAATAAAGCGCGGTGGCGACTCTTGCTTTTGCGAGTCGAGTTAATTAATAGCTCGATCTCCGATTTTCACCGCTACATACATGTTGACAGAATTATGAAGAAGCAAGGAGTTGTTTCTCATAGCTTGCTCAACAAATAAGATGAAGACAAGAAGACTACAAGATTCTGCACTTAACTTATATTAGATTCATCTATTTAGAAATTTGCAAAACACAAGAGTTGTTGCTCAGATTGTGTAATTTGTTAAGATCTTCATGCAAATTGTTTGTATACAAGATTTGATGCTCAGAAGTGCGTCAAACAATAAGTACTTAAATTAGGAGTAATCTACTTGATAAGAAGCACTCATGTAATCTCAAGAAAAATAACTATGTTTAGAATTGGTTGGAACCTCAAGTGATCAAGTGAATATTAGAAGACTTGAGAAGACTTTGGCTGTGGCCATCATAGATGAAATCCTGGTAGTAGATTCTATTTGGTTAATGGTAGTCATATCTCAAATGGACTGGATGAAGGCCTCCTAAGATCACTGATGGATATCATTGGAAGGAAATCCTGATAGGAGATTCTGAAGAATCAGTTTTGTTGGGTCAATGAATGTTATATCCGGTTTGGATCCCTAAATGTTTCATTGGATGTTAGTCATCGGCAGTTTCCTTGGCGAGTGTAATCAGATTGATTATAATGGATTAAGTCCTTGAGTTTAAGGCGAAATCACCTCAGAAGGTTGGAATGGATTAGCTTGGGGGTTTCTTTAGTGAACCATGATATATCACGTGTTCTTTACTTTTTCTTATGCTTTAGATTTTATGTTTTCTGAACCAAATTAGAAGCATTAGTTAGAAGTAACAATCAGAAGCATTGTTCAACGAATAATGCTTAGAAGTGAAAGTTTTACAAGAAAGAAAAACCCAATTCAACCCCCCTTTCTTACATTTTCTACACACCTTCAATTGGTATCAGAGCCTAATTCTTTTACTGATGGATATTCAAACACCTAAAATTTTCAGATAAAGATCCAGATGTGTTATGAAGAAATACTCTAAGGTGATAGTTGTTCAATTTTCAAATATTGTCTAAAACCAAAAAATTGAAGAACAAACTAACAGGAAAAGATTCATCGGATAAGAAGTTGTATATGTTGAATGCTTTTGATTAAGATCCTTAAGAAGTATGATATGTTTTCAAGAAACGGATTAGTCCACCCTTGAATTTCTCATAAGATCTTATTAGGAATCTTATCAAAATAAGAAAGATTGTTATCTTATGATATAAAAAACCTCATGATAAAACCGTTTATTCAAGCAGAAAGAAGATCTTTTAAAGATCTAATCATTGGTTCTGTCAAAATAGGCTTTGCAAAAAACAGACATTGCTGAGGGAAGAATGCTCATTGACGCATCAGAAGTATGGTCAAAGACTAACTCTAAGGAAGTTAGCTCAACATTGAAAGAATAACATTGATAATCAGAGACGTCAAATTTTTGATTAGAACATATTCTGCAATTTGTTCAAGGAAACAAAAATTTCAAAAGACGTTAGGCAATGATAGTTAATTCTCTCTATCACATAGCTTCTCAAAAGTTCATGAAATATTGACCCTCCGAAAATAAGCTTCTGTTGAAAGGAATTTTTACAAACAGATGGATGTTCTGATAATAAAAGATCAGAATATATTTGCTCTGAGGATTCTCTCAAAAGTAAGACGGGTGATTTTAAACAGAAGAATGAGGAGATCGTTTAAACAGAAATCTCTGATTCTAGTTCTTAGACTAGACATTAAATTCCAGAAGAAGGTTACTCTTCTTAAATCAAAAACTAAGAATACTCAAAGAAATAAGAAGAATCAATATGAAGATAATTCAGAACCTCTGAAAGGCTGCTCTGAAGAAAGCATAAGAAGAACGAAGTTGATCAGAAGTTGTATTTAAAAGCTCAGTTATCAGAAGATGCTTTAGTCATAAATATCTCTGATTAGGTGAAACCTTTTTGGTTATTCAGACCCTGAGTATATTGATTGTGTCACTTAGTTAGACGAAGTAGTTAACACGTGTAATACTCAATTATTCCTAACCATCACATGTTACCTAAGCTAGATTATGAACAACGTGCAATTTCGTGAATTGATACGTCGTGATGACTTTTATTAATTAAAACCCAATTAATTTTTCTATTCCTGTTTAAAACAACCATAACCACACATCACTCCTCACACTTGTTGAAAACCCTAAAACCCTTTTTATCTCAATTTCTTCATCGTCTCTCTCTAGGGTTTCTTCATCCTCTTCAAAAGTTCATCTACAATCTTCTTCTACATCTCCATCCACCTTCAACAATGATGGCTCCCGCAAGAAGAAGCTTTTAAGTTTTCTAGTGAACTGGAGAAAGCCCTAAATTTATCCGTCGCAACATCGTCAACCATTGAATCTTCGTCTTCAACAATGACTCTGTCATCAACAGTTCTGTCTTTATCAACCATCGCTATATCTTCATTAGCTGAGGTCCCCTCATTTTCAGTAAATCCTACTGATGACAATCATATTACGTAGAAAAGTTCTCAAGTTCATTGTAACCTAAAACCAACATAGTTGATTGTTCTTAAGGAATTAATTGTTGATTTTGACAATCTCGCTACAAATGGAAGTGCCTTAAAATAAGAACTAAAGGCTCTAGGTTGGGAAAACTATTTCCAAAGGCTTTATGGTCCTGTCTATGAGGAGTTAGTGATAAATTTTTGGAAAAATGCTGATTGTGACGATTTTCATATTGTTTTGGATGTTATTGGACAAAGGATCATCATCACTGAAGAGTCCATTGCAAAATTGTTGGGATTGAAGTTCCTGAAAGGAAGACGCGTATATGGTTTGAACAATAAATCAAAGGCAGGAAATAAATCTCTAAATAAACTACTGTTTGCAAATTTCTCTATTGAGAAATCCAAGTACAAAAGCAAGGATCTTCATGACAATCTCCGAGTATGGCATACGATTATTCTGGGCTGCATAAAGCCTACACCTCCTTCAAGTTCCTCTATTTATTTCAACACCAATCAGAAGTTCATGATGTACTTTATGATGTCCAAACAAATAATTAATATTCCTTTCATTTTGTTTAATTATTTGAGGGAGTCTATTAGAAAGACCAAAATCACCGCACTTCCCAACAAAAAGGTATCTCCCAATATTCCCTGTTGACGACTTTTAACTGATATTTTTGTTGAAAATGGCTTGGTAAAGTTTTTTATTGAAGAAGAAAACTATAAAGAAGATCTGAATCCAAGCATTGGAGACCCCATAAATGGGAAAACCTTAAGAAACGCGAGGTTTATTGAAGAACTCAAGGTAAAGCCTCTAATTGAACCATCTGAGAGTTATCACCATAAAATAATACTTGTGAGGGACTATCCTATGTTATCCAAATGAGATTCAGTTTCCAGCATGGCTGCATACATTTTAATGATGCAACAAAAAGGACATGATATGTCAAACTTTAATTACTCAGATTTTCCTACTGAGGGTGTTGATTATTCTGTTGGTAAAAGAAAGAGAAGCTCAAATGATTCTGAACCAAAGAAGAAAAAGAAAAA